TTCTCTTTCTCTTTCTCATTATTTGTACATAACACTGCTTTGGGGCCCAAGGAATAAAAAAAGAACTGCGAGAATAAAGGCACCATCTGTGAACCCTGGCAGGGCCCAGGCACAGTTTTGGAACCAGGAGGGTTGACTGGAGTGATGTGAAAGTGAGTCTCCAGGCCTGCTGCCCCGTGAAGCCTCCTTTGGCAGGAGGGGCCTCCTTTTGCACAGCTCCATGAGCAGGCAGCTCCTCCAACACGCTGCTGAGAGCAGCTGTGCTCCCTGGGGCTCCTGCTCTGACAGCAGAGATAATGAGGTTACCAGCCCGGAGAGCCGCCCCTGCAGCCGCGGGCCTCTGGCTGCCAGCCCGCACACTCGGAGCCTTCCGGTGACAGCTGTGGTTCCCCGGCTGTCGGAGGGCATTTGTCACAAGACCTGGCCAACAGGCAGGAGGGCCCTAGGCAGCTGGCCAGATGCTGCCAGGATCAGCCTTGCCCCAGGTTTCTAAGCCTTATTCCAGCTTTGCTGTTTCCTTTCTCTCCCTCAGCTTAGAGTTGTTAATCTTTTTTTTCCCATCAGCTGCCCTGCTTTGGTTCCTGGCAGACAAAGCTGGTTTCTCCACTGATTAGAAAAGCAGGGCTTTTTAGGCACCCGGAGGCATCCATGCAGCAACAAACTGAGCAAGGGGAAGAGTGGCAGTCACCTTCACAGATGGCAGCCAAGGTCAGCAGAGCAGGCAACTGCTAGTCATGGTGTACTTTGGAAAGGGCAGGCCTTGCGCAGCCCTGTGAAGGGAAGGCGGTGTTCCTCCTAAGAGGTAGGGGGCAAGCAGGTGCGGTGCTGTGGGATGGTGAGCCTGTCCTACTCTAACTGCCCACCTCCCATCACCACATCATGCTGGCCCACCCCAGGGGTGCCAACCCTACCAGGCAGATGAGTTTAGACTCTTTCATCTGAGGGAGCCTTTCCAGTCTAATCTGACCCTGACCTCTGCCAAGGACACACGGTGGCAGACCCAACACCTTCCCATCATGAACGATAACCCACAATCCCAGATCTCACAATTCCTCTAGAAATTTCCCAGAAGGGTTGGGACAGTCAGTGCATGATTAGGCAAAGGCAATTCCACCTAAGAAAAGACTATTTTTGTCACTCTCTTGAAAACTTACACATTGGGCTCATTTGCTCAGCGAGCAGGGCACAGGGATGGAGTGGCTGAGGGCTTTTCCTCAGTTTCTCCATCTGTAAACAGTAGTAATTAGATGGAGAGTGAACTCGCTACCCTGTGAGTTTGGGTCTTTGGCCTGGTAGTCTGTTGTACCCCAAAGTGGGGTGAGAACTTTGAAGTCTTCTCCCTGGGGGGTTCGCACCACAGATATTTGGCCCTCAAGGAGCAGCAAACCCTACAAAGACCTAATTGTCAGGGACAACTGGAATTCCGCCCAAGTATTCTGGTCCCTCCCTCGGCCCCTCCAACCACCAGAGAACGAAGCTGCTTCCCAAGGACCAAGGGCAGCATGTAGCCCTCTGATTTCGCCATGTAAACAGTTTCCTGGGTGAGAGACCGGCTTAGCTCTGAGCTCAGCTCCTCACAGCCAGGCAGCTCAAAATCTCGAGTCAGGGCAACCACCTCTTCTCTCCTAGCCAGCGAGGTCAATGGGACAGAGTGGCCTCTTTCTGCAGCCATCATAATCCTGGATTAAAACAATAAGCTCCAGCAAGTCTGGGCTTAAGGCTTTCATGCCAGGAACATGAATTAGGGAATAACGTGAAATGTAAAGCATTCCGACATTTCCCAGATTCCAGGATGCAGCAGGTATAGGAAAAATATATACTGTACAGAACATACAGAGACCTTTTGCCTAGCATTCGTTCCAGTTTTGTATGCTATCAAGCCTTCTGATGACCACTGTGTAGAGTGAGAAGAAGAGGAAAGGAAGGCCCAGAACTTTTTATTCTGGACCATGCGCTCCACGACAGCAGGGACCTTGTCTTGGGCGTCTTCTTCCCAGGGCTGCAGGACGCTGATGGGACAGAGCCGAGAGCAGTGGTTCTGGGGCAGCGTGCCCAGTTCTAATTCTGGACTGCAACTTCTTAGCTGTGTCGCCCCAACAGGTAACTTAGGGGTTAAGCCTCAGTTTCCTGAGTCCTTAGGGACTCAGTTATTAAGTGAGATTGATTCCCTTAAAAGAGGTTAGCACAGAGCTAGGTACTTGGTAAGACTCCAGTGTTAGCATTTATTATTATTAAGGCTGTTATTATTAGCACCACTATTTTGTTAAGTTGCTATCACCCCACACTGAGCAAAGGATAGAATCCCTGCTAAAGAGACTGCTCTGTCACTGTCTACAAGGGAAGTCATGTTTGAAGGTAGCAAACCATCTTAAAGCTAGAGAGGGCTTGTTGGTTTTGCTCTAGACTTCCAAAAACCTTTGAAAGGGCTCCACAGCAAAGGCAATTTCTATAGAATGGGAAGCTGGAGGGGGCTGTTTGGTAGCAGAGGGAAGCAGCTGTCCAGACAATAAATGGGAGCTTCTCTCAACAGGGGAGTGGGCATCCTTAAGAACGGCTGTTGTAGGATACACCTCATTTGATACCTTTAAAAGAATCGTGGCGGAGGCATGTAGAGCTTCCATAAGATGTCAGCTTCTTACTTGGAGAGAGTGGCTCTGTCCTTGCCTTCTTTAAGGCGGCTAACAAATTACCTACTGGGCTGCCCCTCTTGGCAGTACTGTCTAGCCTTGGTGCATGGGGGCAGGTGTCCAAGACACCCCAGATGAGGGGGCCATGGCCTGTCTAGCTCTAGAGGCCAGAGGGAAGGGTTTCCTCTTCCTGGATTTCAGCCTAACTCTTCACAGATGACTGGTCATGGGTAGGTTACTTTCTTGAGCCTCTTTATGCATAAAGATTGAGACCATAATGAGATATTTGTGTGTGGGGTGTATGTGCCTGACACATAACGACGGCTGGACAGAGGCAGGGCTGGCATGGTTTAGAAGGAAGGAATAGCCACTGAAACTTCTGGCTCCCTGGAACTGAGCCTTCTCTTGCTCCTCAGTAGAGGGGACAACCTTGGGGTTGGGGGAGGGGGGTCTCCTCTGCATCTGGCCCTTAGCATCTAGGGTCCTGGGGCATTTCTGGTATTCCCTTGGCATCTTGAGGATCTCACCTCCGTGGTGGACTCTCCCTGTGACTGCCCTTCAAATGAGCTGGGCCAGCCCCCCACCCTCACCCCAATCCAATCAGACAGTGACTGTCTTGAGCTGTGCAATCATCATCATGAGCTTCTTGTTTTATCACCATGCAGAGCAGTTAACAATTGTGGACATAATTAGATACATGTTGAGTTAACGTCAAAATGGTTATTTAGTTGTACTGATGTTAAGAGTGTGAAGCAGGACCTTTTATGCCTTAAACCCTGAGAAGATCTGAGGGGCTCACTGTCAGAGCATGTCCTGACTGATATTGAGTCCACTGCGGGATGGCCATCATGATGCATGGGTCCTAAGCCCCTCTGGTCCCATGTGGCTGGCACTCCTCAGGTACAGAGCTGAGAGAAATGTGCATATTTCAAAGATCCCTTGGGAAGTTCAGCCATACAGAAGTGGCATCAATAAATCCATCCCTCTGAAGGGAGAGATGGAGCCCTGCTGTGTCTCAGGGACCACTTTAACATCTTGCCAGGAGACTCAGGAATAGAGCCAAATGAGCTTCCCTGTCTGAGGGGACCTGGAGACATGGCTGACCTTTCCCTCATCCTTGAACTAGATTCATTCTCTGGCCCTTCCGCCTGGGTGTCTGCTCAGCAGGGGCCTGACTTTAATCGCCAGTAGAGGTCAATGGAGCACTCTAAAAGAACTTCTAAATGAATCAGAGGATATATGTGGGGCAGAATCCTAAAGTTCACTAAGGCACCACCTCTCTCCTTTGCTCTGACTCTACGCACACACTCTCACACTCACCTATCCACCATATATACACACAGCGTATAATACACAGACACGCACACCCTACACATCCTACCATGCCCACATGTACCCTATCTAAACCCTAAAATGCTGCCGACGGCCTTGCCAGATTAAGCAACAGGCCAGAAATACCCATTCTGAAAATTCTACACAAATGCCATGACCTCACAGGACTGGAGGAAGTCCCTCCCTATCCCATGGTCAAGGTTCTCCACCTTTAAAATGAGTGCTTTTGTTACTTATTATTTAACATGTCAGTCTCGAGCTTTGGCTCCTCCTTTCAATAGTGACCTCTGGACAAAAGCCCCAGTGGCATCACCTCGTAGCTAGGCCTCTCTCCCATCCAGGGAAGAAAGGGTGGGAGCAGCAGTGGGAAGAAGCGCTGCAGGAAAAAAAGGCACTATCTCCACAGGACACAAGGTGTCAGGTGCCTCTGCCCAAGCCTGCCTTCTTTAGGGGGCCCCTAGGAAGGAGGCGGGCAGGGAGAGGGAAAAAATGTGACTGAGGACCACAGTCCTTTCTGCAGTCACTTCTCCACACTATGGCAAGGCTGGGTGGGGAAGCAAGGAGAGGCTGCAAATGCTAACCATGGAGGCAGAAGAAGAGACCCCTGGCAGAAGAAAGACAACTATGATTCCAAATCATAAATAACGAGGGATGAAGGAGCCAGATCAGCCCCTCTCCATCAGGCCCTTGGCCAAAGCTACCTCAAAGGCCAGTAGCCGAGCAATAGCTGAATCATCTGAATCTGGACAGCTCTTGCTTTGTGACAAACTAAGTGCAATTTACACAGGAAGTGGCCTGATAATGCAGAAGCAACAATGCTAGCCTCTGCATTCAGCAGAGACCATGAGACCCCCATGACTGCGCAACTGTGGAAACGGGGCCGCTCTCAGCCCTGGGACCTCTCGTAGCTTCATGTGCCAGGAGCTCGGTATAAACTTAGGCTATGCCAACCTCTGAGCAGACATCAGCAGAGGCAGCCTGGACCCACAGATGGCCCACCATGTATTCTTCCCATCCTACCCCACCATAATCCTGGTGTGCCTACATTCCCAGAGACTGGAGGGGCTAGAGTACAGTCTGTGAGATATCACGATGGGGTTGGAGGAGGTGAGATCCTGTACATGACCCTAACACACACCCTTGATTAGGAAGGAATTGGTGCAGTAAATGTTTTGTATACATACACCTTCCCTAAGGATTTCACAACCATTATCTCGTTTTAGCCTTATGCAGTCCTGTGAAGTCAACCACAGAGATAATATTTGGTCCATGTTAAAGATAGACAGAGGCCACGCAGGGGAACTGACTCCCAAGAATGCAGAGCAGATTGTTTGCGATGCTCTTTGCACAGTGACTCATGCCCAGTGGTTTGCTCGAGTTGCACACAGGCCCCAGCCTGGGGCACGTGGGTGACTGGGATGGTGGTCTCAGGGATGATGATCCTTAAGTGGCCCACTGTACACTAGTCTGCCATTTGGGGTTTGCCTGCTCTTGTGCTTTCTTGAAGTCTCCTACCCTCCTGATATTGGGTAAATGGAAGAATGATGGCGAGGAGGAAGGGGAGAAAATGTGCACTCTGAGATCTTACCTGTTCTGGTCCGAGTCCTGCAGGGAGATGCCCGAGTCCCAGTCCGCATCCCCCGCTGGTTGCTCTAGGACCCAGAACAGAAGCAGAGATCAGGGAAGAGCAAGAAACTGGGCTCTCAGTTGCCACTTAATGAATGTCAAGGAGAAGTTTTCTCTGGAAGCCATTTAACCCCAAGATAAATCTCCATCTCCTGCCTGTGCCTCAGCCTGAGAGGTGAAGGCACAGCCTTTTACAGTGACTACTGGTAGGCCTTGCCATGGGCTGCGGGGCCAATATGGGCCCTCTCAGGCATGGGTGAGGAATAAGCTTTGGAATGGGGAAGAAAGAAGGAAAAGAAGGTGTCTGTCCAGGCCTGAACACTTGCACATCCCAGTAGTGCTACCGCCTGAGTTCAGCCCACCTGGCAGGATGCTCGACCACTTTGCAGAGAGGGGTCCACCAGAGGGTGAGGGCATGTCCTTGGAGGAAGGTGCAAAAAGCCACTCTAGAAAAGGGTACAAGCCACAGGGAAGAAGCAATGTTAGCCTCCACCCCCACTCCTCATCGGTATAGGAAGTTATGGGGGTCTTCAGCAGATGGGGCCACCTGTGAGGTGGTGAAGAATCTATGTCACAGCCAAGAATGAGAAGACATCCTGATGATTTTGTGACAAACAGCTGTGCTTTCCTCCCTCCCTTGCCCCATTGCCTCCTTGGTCCCCCTGTCCCCTTTTCCTCCTCCTGGACTCTCTCCTGCTGCCCCCGCCACCCAGACCTAAAGAGTGAGCCTCACCTGGTACAGTTCTGTCCCAGGATGGAGTCCGGGCTGGGGTTCCCACCTTGGGGATACCCTGCCCCCCAACAGTTAGCATCTCCTGAAGCAGAAGGCGGTTCCTCTCCACCCGGTCAGACAGAGGCAAGGTGCTGCCCCCCATGTCCAGATCCCCCAGGTCTCCAGCTCTCCAGAGACCCCCTAGCAGGGCTGGCCTGGGGACAAAATCCTCCTCAGAGGTCAGAGACAAGCTGTCCAGGTCTCCCCCTGTAACTAGACCATCCCCGAATGGGTATGACCTTCCTTTCCTCAGGTTGAGCAAGTGGGTGATTTTGTTACCAGGTCCGGGGCCCATAGGCCAGCCTGGAGTGACTCCATGGATGGAGTGCTCTTGCAAAGAGCCAGGCCCTGGCAGCAGACCCTGCTCCCGGTCAGCCAGTGTCCATGCTGCTTCTGGAGGCCATGGGCTCCTCCCATTCCAGCACTCGAGCCCAAGGGCAGGTGGCCTGGGGAATCTGGTACTCCCATTCCTGGAGGGTTCCTCCTCATTGACACTGCTGTCCAGCTGCTGATCGGTCAGGTTCTGAGCATGGAGGACCTCCACAGCATCTGGCAAAGGAGATCCCTCAGAGAGAGTCCTCGCTCCACCTGCCTTGACTCGTCGGCATTTGGGTTTCTTGGGGGATGGCCGCTCATGGGCAGTGAGGCAGGGGCTCGCCCCCTGTTTGCCTGCTGTCATCTTTTCCTTCAAGGCCCTGACCTTGGACTCCAGCACAGAAGGGCCTTGGAGCTGTATCTCCCATACCCTTGGAGGGTAGGGGGCAATCAGGCTGGGTGTTCTGTCTTCCTGAGGGTAGGGCCAGGGTCTTAGGAAGTGTCCATTATTGGACTGTGGCTCAGTGTCACATATCTCCACAGCTGAGGTCACCTCCATGGAGCTGGCTGTTCTGCTCCCTATTTTGGGCCCTCTGGAAGAGAAAACAGACAGAGCTCCTTAGATCCAGGACCTGGCTAGCTCCAACAACCTCCTGGGTCCCCCAAGTGCCTTCACTATGAGTCCTGTCCAGATGAGAGTAATTTGGAGACAGAGCAGGGGATACCCTCTAGATAACATGAAAGCACTTTGAAAAGTACAAATCATTGAATGATACAAATAAGGTATTATTGAATTGTGTCTTCCAAGTCTGAATAGTGTTCTAGGTTTTCTATCCCCATTTTACAGATGGGGCACAAGTGTCCAATAACTAATCCTACACCAAATGTGTATCAGAGTGAAAAGCCAGGTCAGAATTCCCAATCTCTGGCCTCTCACTTTCCTGACAGGTGGTCTCAGGGAGGATATGAAATTATACAGGATCTCAGGATAAGACCCTTGGGTGGATGGTGCCCTGTGCATCCCCTCACTCCCATCCTCCAAACCACAGGACCACAGCATGGAGCTGTGCTCAAAGGGTGGCCATGATCAGTCACTAACTCCTACCAGCATCTGCTCTGTGCCAGGCAGGCGTGCAAGTGTTTCAAACAATCTTTCAAATGCTCCTCACACAATTCGGCCAGAATACCATTATTATCCTCATTGTTACAGACAGAAAAGCTGAGGTAGAGCGAGATTTTGTCACAAAGGTGCTAAGGGGAGGCCAGTTTGGATTTCAGAGCTTCATATTCCAAGACCAGGGCTCTTCCCAAGCACTTGGTGATCACTTAACCCCATTCTCCCTATTCTGTAGATGAGAATATCCAGTCTAGAGAGTCTAGAGAGGTTCAGTGACTTGCCAGAATGACATAGCTCCTTGGTGGCATGGTTGTTGCCAATGTGTTCACATTGAATGAAAGTGAGCGTGGGATTTTATTCACTGAGTTGTTCTGTACACACATATAGGCCACAATATCTTAATATTTATCCTGCTCTCAGAGAAAATGCTCCCTCAACATCACACTTAATATGTCACATATCAAGTATGTCCCACTTGAAGTAAACTGCATATATAAAAATCCCTATTTACAGAAATTACAAATTAGGAATTAATTATTCACTTCATATATTGACTAAAGATTCCATAAAAGTCTCTTAAATAGCAAGTCCCTCTATAGTTGTTTATTACAATTCAACTTATACATGTTTCAGGAATGTAACATATTTCATAAAGTAAAACACACACAGAGTGCAAAATGTCACATCAGCTTGAAGCCAGTGAAGTTTAAGGGCTATCTTTAGGAGGCTGAGGTCTTTAACTCTATCAGTTAATCTAGAATGTACCAACTTTCTCTCTGCAGCCCAGTGACAGCGTTCCTCTCTTCTGAGGTTTAATCCAGAGAGCAGGGGATTAGAATGCAGTAGGAGTGGTTTCAGTTAAATTAAAAGACCTTTCTGATGAGTCAATTCTGGATCGTATTCTAACCCATGGGGAGGAACTTCGGGAGGAACCTTCCACTGGGGCACGGCGAGACGTCTGGGGAGATAGATGGTGCTGCTTGGGGTCGTCTGATTCTATGGCCCAAGGGCTGTATTTGCTCAAACTCAGAAAGGCTGAAACGGAGATGGACACGAAGGGTGGGCCTCCCCCCGCCTCTCGCCCCGCGCCCCGACCCTTCCCACTCTGTGGCCCCCGCCATCCCACCAGCCACTGGTTTCCGTACTCACTGAGGGCCGCCGCCGGCAGGTTTGGCTGCCACCTCCTCCATCCCCTCCATCCCCGGACAGGCGAGCCCTCCTCTAGCCCCCTCTCCTTCCCAGGCCCTGGGGCCGGGATCTGCTCTCAGCTCAGTGGGCAGCCCCAGGCCTGGGCAGGGGCTGGCCGAGGCCTCCTTCTGAGCCCGAAAGGAAGTGGGCCGGGCGGGGAAGGCAGTGGCATCAGCTACTAAGTTGATGGCTGTGCCACTAAGGGGAAAGAGGCCAAGTCTGGCGCCTTCCAGGGCCGCGACTGGGAGAGCGGGAGCGGAGCGCAGAAAGGAGGGGAGTGGAAGGAGCTGGAGCAGCGGGGCCTGCCCCGCCCGGCCCCCTGGCCCTCGGCACCCGCTGCAGCCGCCGTACGCTCCGCCGGCCGGACACCCGAACCCCGGGAGCTGCTTCTCCGGCGGCGGCGGCCAGGGAGCAAGCGCCTCACACACGTCAGAGGGGCGGGAGGACAGGCGAGGCCCGGGCCGAGTTCGGGAGCGATGCCCGGGCCCTGCTTTGAGATGCGGGGCACTCAGCGGGACTGACCCCCTCGCAGTGGGCAGTGGACGTAAGGGGCTGCGAGGAGTGCAGATGTGGGATGTGGCTCAACCAGAGCAAAAGCTAAGAAAACAGCCCTTTCTTCCCGAGCTTCGCGGGAAAGCATGTAACTCTATACCCGGGGCCTGAGGGAGCGAGGGGGGGTTGCGGGGCGGAGGCTCCGCCATCCGGGTGGAAGCTAAGGAATGCCCTTTGTTTACACAGCTTTTCCAGTGGAGCCGTCCGCCCTCTCTGAGGGAACGTCCCCATCAGTCTAGGGCGCCGCTTCCTCCAAGGTCAAGGTCATTGATTTGTTTTCCAGAGACGCGAAGGTAGCCAGAGTGGATGGAGGTGGGTTCCCTCATCCTGTGCTGTTAAGAGGACAGCCTGGTGCCTGCATTGCCCGCCGCCTGGGGTAGGGACCGGGTCTCACGGTACTGAGGACTCCTGAAGATACCTTGTCGCTTTTTCCAGACCTGGGAAGAAGTAGCCGGAAAGGGCTTCCCCCGCAGCTGTGGCCCAAACCAGTGGAGCTTTCTTTTTCTTTCCACCCTGAGGGGGGTGCCAGAGCCTCATCTATTTCCAAACCTATTTTCCCACAAAGGATGGGAAATAATAAGAGTTAGGACCCAGGAGACTCTGAAAATCTCTACAAAGGAAAAGTGCTCCTTCATCTTTCCTGCAGCCAGCGAGCTCTGCTCTCCTAGTTGCACTTGCACAGTACTATGGTCCCCATCTAGATCACAGCACAGCAACAGTAAGGACCACACAATGAGGGAAGTGCAGGTGCAGAGTGGAGGCCAAAGATGTTTCCAGAGGAGGCCAGCCTCCTGAGTGAGTAGGAGTTCCCCCGCAGGAGGTGGGCATCTGGGCAGGGCCAAAGCACCCAGGCCTTCGAGCAGCTATTATGGAGCTGTGGTAGGTTGGCCTTGGGCTAATGTAGGAAACTGAGAGATTATTTAGGGACAACTGTCTGTTTAAGTACAGGTCCAAGGTCCCAAAGCTTTCATGACAAGTGGTCTCCAGAGTCTAGGGCCAGTGTTCTTCCAGTTAATCCCCCTCCGCGCCCGCCCCCCCATCCCACATATTGCCAGAGCAAGTAATTTCTTCAACAGGGCACTTACCACTGTTTATTAGTACTGATCACTTCACAATAGAGTAACACACCATTTATGAGGATGTACTATATACCCACACTATGCTATGCACATTGCATTCCTTATCTCATATGGCAGCCTTAGGATATGAGTACTATTTATTGTCTCTTTTCTACAGATGAGGAAACTGTGGTGATCTGCCCCAGGTCACAGAGCTAGTAAGTGACAGGCCTTCTAGAGTCCAAGACTTTCACATCAACTGCACTGCATGTGTATTGCCAGTATTCTGCATGTTCAACATGAAAAGCTTTAGTTAAAAAAAATAAAAAACGTTGTTAAGTGCTGTGATAGTCAAAATATGCAGTCCAGCCATGATGGTATGGCCCTTCCTTTCTGGTTCCTTTCTGCCTTCTCTATTCCTGCCATAAGGTAAAATCAGTCCTGTCTTCCATGTGCAATGTCAAACCTAACAACAACAGTACTATTACTATTATCAGGGACCTCCTAAGAGCTAAGTATATTCCACCTAGGATCTTTTAGATTTTTACAAGAACTTGGCAAAGTGGGTATAGTGTCTTCCCACTTTAGGGATAAGGAAATCAAGGTACAGAGAGATTAAGGGACTTGACTGGGACCACAGAGCTAGTAGAGCCAGAAACTGAACCTGGTCCTGTCTGGTTCCCAGATCTTCTGCCTTACTTCCTCCTTTCAGAGGCATCTTCAGGACTCAGACTCTTAGAGGTAATCTCTCCATTACTCCTGCTCCCGCCCCTCCCCCAGAAGTTAATGATCTGTAAGGCAAGTTTCTTAGAGTTCCAGCAAAAGTTTAATGTTTAAAGGAAACCTGCCCCCCAGCTTTTTGAGATGCAAATAGTCAACTTCAGTTTACTCATTAAATTTGTTGTTTTATATTTAATATAGGGGAATGAGGTGTCATATCTACATAGAGGCTTTAAAATACCACCTGACCTAAAATAACCAAATTCTCATAACGTTATTAAGTTACCATGACATTCACATGTCTGAGGGCACTTCTTGCTCATCTGGATTGTTTGGTTCAGCAAATATCTTTTGAGCTCCTACTATGTGCCAGGCACTGAGGAGAAGAAACGTAACACTGCAGAGCCTGTCCTTGAGGAATTTCTGGTCAAGTTAGGGCAGAGGAATGGCAGGCACATAAACTTTCTATGTAAGTGTTTCCACTGAGGGTAGCATAGGGTGGTGGTAGTGGTGGTTAGCTCACAGGAACAGCTGGATTGAGGCGTGTGTCAGGTGAGAGGGGGTATTACCCCGGAGAGCAGATCTTGAAGAATGAGCAGGAATTAGCCAGACAAAGGGGGAGGAGTGGGAGAAGGCATTTCAGACAGCAAGATTAGCATAAACACAGGCAATGAGGTGTGAAACTGCCTGGTTTCTGTGTTGCCAAGTGTAAAAGTTAAACTGGGAAAGGCAAGGGGAGGGCTGCAGCTGCAGAGCAGAGTGCTGTGGCCTGGTTGAGGGCCTACAGGGTCTGAATGCGGAACCTGGCCTCTATCCTGTGAAGGAGGAGTCCCTAGAAGGTTGTCTACACCAGGCCTGAGCCCTCGAGCATGGAATGTTTCTGGGCTGAGGAACTACCTTATGTCCTTACATATCAGACTTTTTCATTTCATTACCACGTTTTGGAGAGAAATCTAGGAGGAATACACAAAAAATATATGGTAAGGAGCAATCACATAGCCTTCCTCTTCCCTCTGAACAACTAGGGAAACCTACCACCCCAAGAAGCCACCTTTCACTTAGCCTGGATAGAAACATAAACTTCACTCCTCCTCCTCGCCTTCCCCCAATGTGCTCTGCACACTCAGCTTGAATAAGGAGCCATGTGGGATGTGGAAATCAGATTTCACTTAGGATGAAGGAACAGGTGAGAAACAGTCCTTCAAGGTCACATGTTATAGCCAGGTTGGGAGGATGGGGAATGGGGTGGGAGGGACACCTCTGCCATCCTTCTACTGTACTGCCTGAAGGAGTTTCTCCAACTGTAAAGTCGAATTTTCTAGTTGTTCCTATCTTGGTCATGGGACACATCATCTGAGGAGCACCCAGTGGGGATGCTGCTCTCTGTCCCAGGGGCCTTCACTCAGGCCTCATCGTCTCTTTGCAGCAGAGGCTCCAGAGAGCATTAGGATTGCCTCCCATGCAACCTGCCTCTCTCCTGATTAGAGCCCTCCCACGACTTCTCAAGGGCTAGTCTGACCTGTGCCTGTGTCAACTCTCCTGGGACACCAATGAAAGGTTGATTCTGAGGTCTCACCTGTGGAGATTCTGATTCCTTAGGTTGGAGTAAGGCCCAGGAATCTGCTTTCTAATAAACCTCCCTAGTGATTTTGAGGCTCAGTCAGTTCTGAGAAGCACAAGTCCTGGGGTTAAAACTTATACACCTTTGCATGGCCCATGGTCCCTCCTGTCTCAGCTCTCACCACCCCAAAAACCTATCCTATATGATCGCCATATATTGAATTTCTTCTAGTTCCCTCGACTAGCCACACTGATTCATATCTCCTTGCCTTTGCCCAGGCTTCCCTTTAGCCTGAAACACCCTGCTTCACTCTACACACACATACCAATTTTGTTGTCTTTTACGAGACCTTCCACACTCGGCTCAAATGTCGCCTCCTCAGGGAAGCCTTCCCCAACATGCTCCCCAGTCCTCCTGACCTGAGTTAGAGCACCTTGGGCCTGTTTCTGCCAGACACTTATTGCACTGGGCTGTCAACATGTGTTGACAGGTCAGACTAGCCCTTGAGTGCTCTGTAAAGTAAAGCAACTTTACAGAGCGCTTCGTCATTTGTATCTTTGTTCCTGGCCCCTAACATGTGCCGGCCATGTAAAAGGTATTGATTAAATGCCAGATGGTTAAGTTTTAAAAAAAAATCCCTATCAGGTAAAGATGCCTAAGAGGAGAAGAGGGACTACTACTTGCTAAGAGGATCAAGGTCATTTCTAAAAACTTTGGTTCATTCACTCAATATGACCAGCCCTGCCCCAGGGCCTGGGAGAAAGTCAGACACCAGCAGGGCCAGGACCAGCACCCAAGCTCCCTGACTTCCAGTTTCAATTGATGCCCCAGACTCCTTGCCCTCGCTCTTCTTCCCTCTTCCCAAAATGGTCATTGATCACAGATGGTGAAGTGGGCCTTATACTTCAATTCTGAGTGAGCCTGGAAATTTGGAGATAAAATAGCTATCAGAAGAAGAAATGGATGGGGAAGGGGAGAGGAGAAGATAATGAGAGAGAAGCATGCAAAACAGGCTGGGAGAGGACACCAGAGAAACATATAGCTGGGCAACAGGACATCTGGGCACCTCCGGAGAGCAGCCACTTTATTTCCTGTTATGTCTCTCTGTATACTCCAACACACACCTGTACACACACATGTGAACACATGTATGCTGTGCTCTCCTATGCCACACCTGCCTGAAACGACTAAGTCCCAAGGAGAACAAAAGTATAGTTCTTACCTGGTCAGTGTCAGCCTGCACCGCTCCCTCACTCTGGCAGGCAGGGAGCCCACTGGGATGGGGCAGGGACCTTCCCTGGAGATATGGACTCCAGACTTCACTGCCTGTGATGCCCACTCACCCTGACTCTGCTGCACATCTGTCCCCATGTCCAAGTGCAAACTGCAGCTTTTCAGTTCATAATCCTAATCACAAGGAAATGAATAAGATTAGGAAGATATTTTAATACTCTTCCTTCTACTCCACCATGCCTGCTCTGGGGGCAGCCGTCATCAATATGAAGAGAGGACACCTGACTTCAACCTGTCTGTCAATAATCATCTTGGACAAGTCAATTTTCTCACCTACACAATGAGAGCAGATTCAGGGAGAAAGATATTAGAGGATGACTGAGACCTAGTCATGTTTGTGACACTTTTGATTTTGAGAAAAGACAAAGTGCTTGGTACTATCCTAATGATTTGCTTAAGACATATGAGAGACTATGAAAAAGTAATCCCCACACTAATAGTTTAATTAAAAATTACAATTATTTCAATAGAAGGTGAAACGGTAATTGACAAAATTCAACAAAGTACCTAAAAGTAGAGGCTTCCTTAACACAATAAAAATCTCTCTCTCAAATCCAACATATTACAAAATGGTAAAACCCCAGGGTGGTCCTATTAAAATTAGGGACTGAACAAGAATGTTCTGCATAGCCATATTCATTTAACAATGGTCTATAAGTTCTGGAGTATATAATTATTAAAAAAGGAGTATAATTGTAATGTATAAGATTTTAAAGGCATGTAAAGTCATTATACTTTATAGATGATATGATTTTTTACTGTGAAAAACCAAGCATTTAATTTGGTCAAGGTGATGCTCAGGTCTGAGTATGAGCTTGATCAAGTGAGAGGAGGGTAATGTGGACAGTGGAAATGCATTTTACTTGTTGAAGAAACTCTCTAAGGAGGTGTTCACTCAGGACTAATGCTGGAATCCTGGGCTATGAACATTCCTCCTGCAGCGCTCCCCTCCCTGGGACAGGAGTTAAATACAGCCATCCGCCTCACACCTTCCTCCTGTCATGAAAGGCAGACACAGTGTGTACATTAGAGCAGCACCTCATATTCTTTAATGTCCCCCAACAACCCTCCAAATCAGATTTTGCAAAGGAAAGAGCTAAGACTCAAGGTGGCCATATCTCAAGGAGTTTGCCCACAGTTAAAAGGCTGGTAGATGACCCAGCCCTCAGCCCCGCCCCAGGACTGGCAACCACATTTCTGTAGCAGGGACTAGCCTTCAAGAGAGAGTCCTACACATGGCCCCACCAGACCATGGCTCTCAGATGGGTGCCCTGCAAGAGTGTGTCCCTCTCAAATCAGAGCCCCCCTAACCCTGCTAATGCTCAAAGGGAAACAAGGCTTGTGCTGGGGGTGGTCACCTTGGGTATGGAGGACAGTTGCTTACTATGACCGTCTCACACTCATGGGCAGGCAGGGAGGGAGGAAGATCTGGCTGTGCCAGTGGAGGTCTAATCTGGCCAAGAAGAGTGGCTCAGCCTTGGGTGGGCGAGGGTCACCCCAGTCTCAGAAGCTGCTTTAGACAGAGGGGAAAGACAATACATACTGGCTGCAAGGAAGGTCGAGCTATTGCACTGGAAAGCCCTGGCTCTTCGTTTTTCTTTTCTGTGTCCTTTCTCTGGATTGGCTACCTGAGGCTGCTTTGTAAAGGGAGCCAAGTCCCTGTTTATCTTGCTGTTGGCAGCCCCTTGAACATTGCCTCAAGCAAGTGGGGGAAGTCAGCATGGAGCCCTGCTGACCCCTCACTTTCTGTTGGGAATGCTGCTCGACAAGCTCTGAAGAGCAGTCAGGTCCTCTCTTCCTCCTGGAGACATCTCCCTGCTACAGTGGAGATGGACACCCTCATCAGCAGCTGCAAGCCAGTTGTCTCCAACCAACCCAGGCCACAAGGTGTGAGCATACAGGGGCACCCACCAGAGAAGGCCAGCTTGCTGGGTCCAGGCGAGCCTGCTTTTGCCTTTTTGGAAGCTGCCTCCTGCCTCAGGGCATTCGTGCTGGAGACTAGCTCCTCAGATCTACCATTATACGGGGTTTCCAGGAGCCAAAGCCCTCTATAGCCCCCAAGCTGTGCAATGCCTTATCTTGTGGGAGTTCCTGCCTCCCCATTCCCTCCTGCCTCCACCAGCCTTGGAGATTTTGCTGACAACACAAATGGGCCTCAAAAGCAGCCTCTCTGAGCCTCTCTGTGGTCCACAGGCAAGTTTTTCCTGTGTCAAATTAAGGTACAAGGTAGGTGAGGTATGGATGGAAGGACCCAAATTTGAAAAGTCCAGGACTGGCAACCTGGATCCAGCTCTGGCTAGGCCACATCTACTTGTGGGACTAAGTGCTGGTCACTCTGTGGAGTTCAGTTTCCTCACCTGGTGGAAATGGTGGATTGGACTAACAAGTCCCAAACCGAATTCCTCAGAATCCCAGAATCCCATGAGGTATTAATAGGTCTCCTTTGAAAAAGAGAATTCAGGTCCAGTAAGTTTTCTTATCCTCCACATGGGTCATTAGGTCCAAAGGCATTTCAAAGGCTCAGGGAAGTCCTGAAGTGAAAACAAAACTACACCAGTTTACCTTTGTTTAACCCTGTCTTTCTCAAAAGTGATAGACTACAGAAGCCATTTCCCTCAGAATAGCAATAAGCATCCTATGGCGTACACTATAGGACAACATGGTCCAGACAACTTCTCATAGTCCCTCCTGCTGGGATAGACTAGGCCTCTCCCCAGGCAAGGAGGAGCAGGCAGCTGCTGTACAGCAAATTCCAAGATCCCATAGAAGGGGTCAGACTGCAAGCAAAAAAGGCTATCTCAAGGGCAAGTGGTGGCCCATTCCAGCTTTATTTCTTTTTAGAAAGTTAGCGCTATGAGGAGTCAAGAGACCAAAAAAAGAGGGGACTTCTAACAAATCTCAATTTCCACTCTGATTCTTTGTCTATTGATTATGTCAATTCACCTTAAAACTAATAGCTTCAGTTTGCCCATCTGTGAAAAGGAAGAACTAGAGAGACTTGGTTGGCAATCACTCAACATTAGCCCTCAGAAGTTTCCCAATCTGGGGTCTCCATATGCCTAATGGGGAGGGGAGCAAAAGCTATTTCCAATATTTAAAGAAGTCTAATGGAAATTATACATTTACTATGAGAAGTGTTTTTGCTTTTGACTGGTATATCAATTCAATAGGACAACACAGGTTGTCATGGGGACAAGGATCATTATGCAATAAATATGGTTGGTTTGTTGTACAAAATCTTTACAAACTCGGGGTCCTTGGAAGTAATAAAAAGATCAACTGGTAATGGAAAGGTAAGTAGCCACTGACTCAAGTGGTTGGGTTCAAAACCAGTTTAAAAGTACGATGGTGGAGAGCAAAAGAGTGGATGGGATCTGGGGGAGGTTAGGGTGCTCCAAGGGAAGATGCTGCTCCAAGAGCCATAGGGTTGTGTGCAGAAGTGTGTGTTTAATGGTGAAGCGGCTGTGACACAGTGGCCCTCTTCTGCGCATAGCTGGCTGAGACAGGGTATGGAGCACCACCTTTACTGAACTGAGAGCAGAGACCTCAGAGTCCCCTTGACGCCAGGTACCAGGCCAAAGTGGATTCTATGCACCTTCTTAGAAAGCCTTCAAGAGTGCCAATGTCTGAGGGCTGTCAAGCACTTGAAAGCTCTGATTTTATATGCACAAAGTCCTGCCCCATTGGGCCCATTACTGTATCTTCATAAGCAGCCACGTCTGGAAAGGTACTCTGTGGTTCATGGCTGTTTCCCCTCTAAGATGCTGTTTACCCAGAATCATCTCTCTAGTTTTCTATTCCCTTTTCTCCCTTTGGGGTCTCCCTTAATGTCCAGCTCCATTCTGCAGCAGCCTTGGGCACTGGGCCCAGGAGAGTAGTGGTAACAATCATGGTTGGTAGATCCCTCAAAAAGGGGTTAGCTTTTTCTAATTCTTTAGTATGGAGCATCTAAGACAAAAAAAATTTTTCTCTTGCTAATATTGATATTGCTAATAATATCTCTAAGAGTTGGGCTATTTCTGTAAAGATTTAGAAGAAAAGAGAACTTAAGTGAATTCTATCTGCCCCAGGACCTAAACCAGGCTGCTGGCATTACCTAGCTGGCTAAAGCCGAAAAGGACTTTTCTCTAGGGTTTTGAGAACAAAAGCATTTCATTGTGTTTTTTTAAATTATGCCAAATGACCCGATAAACTCATAATTTGGGGTAGAGGTGTCAGCCATTAATTAAAATATAAGGGAAAACATGAAAGACTTTGAAACGGATCAAAAAGATTATTGGGTGCACTGACTAGTGCATCCTTGCAGATTATGAGTATTTTACAATTGTATTAGTTGTAGAGAAATTGAGAGTAACGTAAATGATTTTTGTCCATAGAATTGCCAGTTATATTTGGTAGAATTGCCCCATGAATACTGGCCAGTTTTGTTGATTTTGCATTCATTTGTAAATTTTTCTCAGCATTCCAGATGTCTACATATATATGTGTGCATGCATTTTAAATTCTTTTGAATAGACTGTAACATTTTACTGATTCTCTCCTTAATGACAAAGAAAATCTCTGACATTTTATACCTACATGAGAGGCATGATTATTCTTTAAGAAATTATTTTTTGATGGGTCCACAAAGAAAGGACATAGCAAGAAGGCAGCTATCTGCAAGCCAAAGAGAGGCTGCAATTCTTGGGAACACACAAAGTCAGTGTGCTGGCCACCTCTTGCTCACTTGAACCAGTCAATATGTCATTGATGTAATGGATCAGTTATGTTCTGTGAATATCCAGCCTGTCCAGATTTCTTTGGAGCAAAACTGTTAACGTGTATTGTCATTTCCATGGGAATGTGAATTGTTTCTGATCCTATTCTGATTGGAAGAGAAAAGAATGCCTTTACCCAAATCAATGGCTAAATAC